CTGTACAGTTTCCATGTGTATAACATAGTCAATATTCTATATATATATGTATATATATTGAAGTATAAGGATTATGAAGAAGACGTTAGCGACGTTATTCGATAACTTGTTTGTTTGTTTGGGATATTCACACAAAGCTACACAAAGGCTATTTATGGTAAGCGTCTCTAATTTTGAATTGATAACCTTGAGGGATAGCCGCGAGAGGGATTATTCTACATGAATAGTGGAATTTACCTGTCACTTTTATAACGCTCGAGCTCCCGGAGTATAGATCGCAAATTTTGCTCCAACAGGACGCAAACATGGACTCTTGAATTCATAAATTGGCACGCTAAGTAATAGGCTTCGCCCAGCTATATTCGATAGCGTAATTTCAAACAAACAAAACAAATAAGTTATCTCGCCTGTTTACTATCATATGTAACTAAAGTTCGAAACTTGAATGTTTTATCTGTTAAATAAACTTGGTATCAAATCATATTTGAAGAACCAACACATTAGTATAATTGCTTTAGAGGTAAATTGTTATGAATTAGAACGTTACAGGGAATATTTTAGGATTATTTTTCGAGTTGTTGACCCGGCATGGCTAGGTGGTTAGGGTGCTCGACTCGCAATCTGTGGGTCGCGGGTTCGAATCCCCGTCACACCAAACATGCTCGCCCTTTCAGCCGTGGGGGCGTTATAATGTGACGGTCAATCTTACTATTCGTTGGTAAAAGAGTAGCCCAAGAGTTGGCGGTGAGTGGTGATGACTAGCTCTAGTCTTACACTGAAAAATTAGGTACGGCTAGCGCAGATAACCCTCGTGTAGCTTTGCGCGAAATCTTTCGGTAATAATCAGTAGAACGACGGTAACAGCAAACATTCGACACTTTGTTTTCGGTAATGTACGTTTATTCTTCGGACGTTTCGGAATATTCACATTCCATCTTCAGCGACTGTATTAATTAATCGATAGTATTAAATACACATATTCATTCAGTTGGAGCATTTATAGTAGTATAAGGCGAAAGAAAAAAGAAACAATCTAAAACAACAACAACAACCAGCAGGATTTAAACAGGAAATAAATTTTAACAATTATATTATGAAACTAGTGTGGTAAAGAAGGGGAGGTGTAGAGATTACAATGTACAGTTGACAATGTGCTAGGGATATTTATAATAGGCTTAGCTGTAAAGAAATTGTGTTATTGTTTAGAGTGGGGCGTTCGTTTAAAATGGACAAGCTTTCTTTGATAAGTTCTGTGTTGGATGAACCGGTCGAAATTACTTTAAAATTGTTAAACAGAAAAGGGCGGTTGTTATTTTCATTGTGTAAGATCGAACAAATCTGTTGCTAGTGTAAACAAACCTTTCTAGATTATGATGCTATTAATGTATCTGTAACGTTTATTGTAAATTAAGAAACACCTTTATATTAATTATCAAGGACAAGACCCTTGGCGAGAAAATCGCGATTAGGCTATAAAGACGCAAATTATTCAAGGTTTACAAAGTACGACAGTTCAACTGAGTTCTGAAACATTAATCAATCGCTAGCCATGATACTAAGTGATATAATTTTCGATTGTTACTTTTAAGAAAGTCAAACGTCATTCTGGATGCACCCATTTAGCTCTGTCCGCGTGCTTATGTAACTCTATCTCGATCATTCTCGACTCAGTTATTGATTTAGGTCCAACGACAGATCCTGTTAACTCTAAAAACACGTAACTAAATACAAAATATATATGGAGATATATTTCGCTTATATTATCTAATTAAATTTAGCTCACTTCTCTAAACTGCATTTGACAAAATGACAATGTAAGATTGGTAAATGCCCTATGTTTTAGCTTCGTGACAGAAGTTTTACATAGAAATTATCGACTTAATGCGTCATATTTACTCATGACGTTCAATGACGACAGGTACAGCATTTGTTGGCAGAGCAGCTGTTGAAGTAGATGTTCTAGAAAATGTTATGCGATCACATATTTCAGATGATATCACGGGAAAGTTTCCGTTTTAACTTTATTATGATAATAATAAATAGTCGTTAATAACTGTCCTGCAGGCTCTATATCAGGTACTTTACAGTAATTTGTTCTTTCTGT